ATATTTATTACGTATATATAAATACACCCACATACAGTATATATTTTGGAAATATTTACATGTATTTACATGTCTATATTTATATTCATATAATTTATATTATAAATAAATACATTTAATATATAAAAATAACATTTTTCTGAAATGTATACATGCATGTGTGTGTATTTATATATATATACATAATAAATATACACAGTACACACACATATATTATGTAAACAACAACTTTTATTTTGGATGCGATTAATCGCGATTAATCGTTTGACAGCACTAGTTTTTTGTTGTTGTTTTTTTTTTGGGGATAACAATTGTATTTTTATACTGTAAACTTCTCAACCCTAAACATCCTATAGTTGAACTACTAAACTACACTACTCGCCAAAAAGTAGTGAAATTATTATTAATAAATGTCTCTATTTTAACACACATTGCTTTAATAATTTCTATTTGTCATTTTCTAACAGATCCAAACAGCTCTCTTAATATTGATGACTTCAATGAATTCTACAATGAGTTCATTGTAGAGTTCAACTACACAGATCTCCAGAACTCGACTGATTATGTCTTGGATGAGAAGACGTTGCTTTGCTCCTTCACTATGGCGGATGCCGTCAACATTGCATTCTGCGTCTTCTATGTGCTCATCTTTCTGATGGCTGTTCCTGGGAATCTGATCGTAGGCTGGGTCATCGCTTCCAACAGACACTCGCTTTCCGCCTCGGACGTCTACTTATTCAACCTGATGCTGGCCGACACGTTACTGGCTCTGATTCTGCCATTTTCGGCGGTTTCCATAATCCACGGTTGGGTGTTTGGTGATATTGCATGCAAATTGGTTTACATGGTGAAGGAAGTGAACTTCTACACCAGCATTTTGTTCCTGGTGTGCATCAGCATGGATCGCTACATGGTTATTGTCAGAGCTATGGAGTCCCGGAAGGCTCAGAGAAGATTGTGCAGCGGAGTCGCCTGCGCGTTGGTGTGGGTCTTGGGCTTGGTGCTCTCCTTGCCATCATTCTACAACGAGGCATTTTATGAGCCAGTTTCCAAGCAGACCGTGTGTGCAGAACGCTTTGAGATGAATCACGCCGACGAATGGCGACTGGCCACGCGTATCATGAGGCATCTGCTCGGGTTCCTCTTCCCTCTGGTGGTCATGTTGATCTGCTACAGCATCACAGTGGAGCGACTCTTGCGTACGCGCGGTTTCCAGAAACAGAGAGCCATGAAGGTCATCATAGCTGTGGTTGTGGCCTTTCTTCTGTGCTGGACCCCCTTCCATGTTTCCACGATGGCTGACACCCTCCTGAGAGCCAAAGTGGTTGAGTTCAGCTGTTTCACACGGACGGCGGTGGACGTCGCCATGTTCGCAACTCAAAACCTTGGCCTTTTGCACTGCTGCGTGAACCCGGTGTTGTACGCCTTTGTGGGAGAGAAGTTCAGAAGAAGATTTCTGCAGATGCTCCGTAGAAAAGGCGTTCTGGAGCGGTTCTCGGTCTCCAGATCTAGTAGGTCTTCTTCTTTGACCTCAGAAGCCACTTCCAGCTTCCTGTGAGCTACACAATGGACATCAGTGTATGACAACTGCTAAACATTTAGTGCACCTTTCCTTGCTTGCTTGAACTAGAACAACACTTTATTATAGAGGCTAATTGCCATGATGATTTGGCTCCCTCTATTGGTCAGAAAGAACAACATTCATGATTGGGTGAGAAGTAAAGGAGTGCTGCAATCAATGATGATGTATTTTTGTAGACCAAAAACTCTTTCCATTGGCTTTTGAATTATTGCAGAAAATAAGCTCTTTGACCACACATTTTGTTCATCAGGATAATCTTCACAAATGAACCACTTTTTGAAGGGGGTTTTACTGATGCATTTGATGTTGTAGAATAAAATACAAAAATATCTTGAGCTTGTGTTAATTACAGACCTCATTTCATTTATTAAAAATGATCAAATTCTAACTCGTTTTCAGCTTCTGGCCTACAAAAATACATAGGTGCAGTACTCTATTGCTTGGTTGAGCTTCTAGAGGTTTAAAGAGTCCCGTTTACTATCGCTCATACGGTGGATTAGTGATTTCAACAAAACCCCTAACCCTAAAAAAGTCAAATAGCGACATTTTCCATTAAATTTTTACAGGCAAAAAGGTCCATTGGCTGTGTAGCGTTGTATGACGCACAGCTCATTCTGTATTTAAGTAACTTTCACACCAAGCAGCTTTCTGTTTGTCAGTTCTTGTGAACCCATTGCGAAAACCGTGTGGGGAAATCTTTCGCCATCATACAAATTTCCGATGGATTCCTACTGAAATCACGAAAATTTGCCAGACAATGGTAAATGTAACTTCATTGGCATGTAACTTCTGCATTATGGGCATGAATGAAAGCTTTTTCAAAGTGATCAAACTTGCCATTTTTACCTGGCGGATGGTAACGCAAATGAGAAACTGCAGACTTATATTGAAGGATGGACCACGATGCCACGATATCATAAATACTTAAGGGTGATGAACTCTTTGACTTGCTATTAAGCAAACACATGCTATTGCAGAATGCTAAGCTGCTGGTTTGGGGAGAAGTGTGTGGTTGAAGTTAGCAAAATAGCCAAAATCGCTTACAGCACAACACACTCAAAAGCTTTCCATAGCCTTTTTGTCAAGGCGGCTGGTCTGTATGTGGTCAGTAAGCAAACGGTTTTAATTTAAAGAGAGTGTGTGCATGTTTTAAATATGCACTATATGATGTACAGCAAACAAAGTAAAGATCAGGTTTTTCTAAATGCTTTATATTTTTTTCCTTTATAAATTGTACTCTAAATAGTACTTTATAAAGTCCATCAAAGCTATACTCTTCATTTCATTCAGGGTGTTCCGAAGAGGAATATTATATATTTGTACTCAAGAAGTGTTTGTGGTGTAATGACAGAAAAACCTCTCCAGGACTTATAATGGATGTACTGTTTTATTTTCATGCTCATTTGTAAGTTAAAATGTAAAAATGTTATGACACTCTGTACGTCTCTTTAATATACAGTCGGCCAAGCAAAATAAAATGATCAGTACAGTTAGATAGACAGAAGTGTGGTTGACAAATGTGACATTTGATGAACGTGATAGCATTATTATACACTTTATTTTTAGTTCATTTTAAATATAGCTTTCTAAGTTATAGTTGAGTTTTTATTTCATGGCCATATTTTAATTTATTTTTGTACGTTTCAGTTTTTAAAAGCAGGAGCCAGAAAGTAAAATTTAAAAGTGGAGTCACAGAATTAGTTAATTAGTTAATTAAATTAATTGGTTTGGTACCCAAAAATATCCAAGTCTGTCACTTGTTGATTCTTGAACATTACAAAACAGACAGCAAACAATAGAAAAAAAAAACCTAGAAAAAACTCTAACTGAAATAATTATGTTTCAGGTTTCTAAAACGTTTATGAGTATAATATTCTTCAGTGGATTGTTCTTTAAGAATTTACATCAGTCTTCAATTTACTCAAGTTTCTGATGATAGAGCTTGGCATAACTAAAATGTATATTCATTGTAAAAAGTATATTCATTGTAATAAGACTTTTTAAGATTTGATTAATCTACATGACTCTTCCAGGTCTAAACCATAAATATGCTTCTTCATGTATATCCATGTTTTCAAAAACTAAGAATCCTGGTTCTTCAAAGGGGGAAAAAAAAAGGTTTCTGAGGGGGTCAATTGAAATAAAATATAAAAAAGTTTTAGTATTTTAAGTTGTGTTAAGGAGGCCCCTTTTGAACTCTGCACACAACTTGAAATCATTACTAGTATCAACAACTTTACTCTTATCACAAACCATATCGCCCTCTGTAGGTGGGATATCTTTTCAAACACATAAAAAACAGTCAGATTAGAGTGTGTGTAAATGCAGTTTACTTATCTGTTTTGGTGAATTTATTACAGTTAAATTTAATTTTACGATAAAAACAGAATCAGAATGTCGCTAGGGTTATATGTTGGTGTTAAATAGCCAAAAATCGCTACAGCGACTGCCCTAATTTGTTAACATCCCAACGAAAAAAATGTTCTCTAAAAAGGCAAGTCACAATGATTTATTCCATTACAAAATTTTAATTTTTGTTAATTCCTACCCTGGCGTGATGTGACCAGCGACGTTCCCGCGACAAGAAATTTAACTGAATGTGAAACTACAGTTATTGAAATGGGATTTGGATTTTGAGCCAATTGGATTTCATTGTGGGCGGGGCTACCAGAATATTCTATGGCAAGTCGTGGTCTTTGCTTCAAGCTTTCATGCAATCAGACACATGTACAGTCATGTACAAGTGTTTTGTGAATTTGTTGATTTTTAACAGTGCTATTCTAAACATTGCTATGTTATGTCTGAAGCAGCGAAAGGGGGGCCGATGACATGCCACAAAGTATCCTAGCAAGAAAAAACATGTGCCCATTCATGTGTTTAGCCTGATTCGGATGGTAATTGTTTGGGGACCAAAGCTATTTTCAGCATTTACAGGAGATCTGTGATTTTATTGCCGTCCGAATTCAGAATGTCTGTGTTTTTCTCCCACCACCCGTGTAAAAATCCCCGGCCAAATTACCTACTGTTTTTTTGACAAACACCAGGTCGTGTGGTCTGAATCCACATCTCTGAGTTTACAAGAAGAAAAGATTCAAAATTCACTATATTAAATATGTATTGACCTCTGCCGAATATCGTAATTGTTGCACTTCGCTGTAATTTGCATGTATATTTATTACTGAAATGATGGAAAAGTGTTTACAAGAACAATATTTCATAACTTCTCCACCACAGTGAGTGGGAGCTGTTAAAAACAAAAAGACAAAAGAGAAGAAAAGCACGTAAACATTTGAAATGGGTCATTATTATTGCAGCGACAGGTAATAGGCATATAACTTAAAATATGTATTATATACAATTATAAACTTAAAAATACAAACTAAGTTTACCTTACGTAAATAATAGGTTGCATTTTGAGAGATAAAAGGAAAGACAGAAAACCATTGGTGCGTCTATATTCCTTAAATTTAAATGTTATAGATTTAAATCATCTAATAATAGGTGGGTAGGATATTATTAAATATGAATTTATTCCATGGCTGCAGTATGCTGTGTTTTCTGCAAACTGGCATCCCAGGCTGTCAAAATATTATTGGGTAAACTGTAAGTGAGTGGAATCACATAGACCAAAACAAAAACAGACATTCCGACAAGGAATGCACATTTATAATGTAGCATGTAGCAACCGTAATCTCTAGTTTCCGCTGACTGTCATACGCGTGTTCACTAGAGAGGGGCATTCTAGCGGATGGCGTAGGACGTAGCATAAGCTCCAGGTGAGAATATGCTAGTCTCGCAAAAACCATGTTTTGTTTACACCAAAGGAAAACCAATCTCCTCTTGGCTTATATCGAAATCCTCTCACATTTTTCTTTACAAATCCTTGTTTTGTACTTCTAATTTGTGACTGGTATTTTGTTTTGCTCTCTCCACTCTGCTTCCGCGTTCGTGGAACGCTACTCTCTAGTGTACATGTGTACAACAGTTAGTGGAATCTAGAGATTACAGTGTATAAAGTTTTAAATATGGTTATTTTTCTTACAAATACATCGCTTCGCTTCAGAAGGTATTATTGTATAACCCCTCAGAGCCGTATGGAGCACTTTTTATGATGGATGGATGCACTTTTTTGGGCTTCAAAATCTCAACACCAGTTCACTGTCATTATAAAGCTTGGAAGAGCCAGGACATTTTTTAATATAACACCGATTGTATTCATGCAATGTCTTTTGGGGCAGTCGTGGCCTAATGGATAGAGAGTCGGACTTGTAACCCGAAGGTTGTGGGTTCGAGTCTCAGGTCCGGCAGGGATGTAGGTGGGGGCGAGTGAATATTCAGCACTCTCTCCACCTTCAATACTACGACTGAGGTGAGACCCTTGAGCAAAGCACTGAACCCCCAACTGCTCCCCGGGTGCCGCAGCATTGGCTGCCCACTGCTCCGGGTATGTGTTCACGGTGTGTGTGTGGATGGGTGAAATCCAGAGCACAAATTCTGAGTATGGGACACCATACTTGGCCACACGTCACTTCATTTGAAAGACATCCATCTAGCATCATGTTTACATTGACAAACGTACTGAAGTTGATTGGAAATATGCGTTTCATAAAACAACAAAAATTCGTAAATTTGACTCATTTTTATATCCAAGAAATAAACACATTTTAGACCACCACATATTAATATGTCTTAGGCCTACACAATTTCAGCAGTTACATGTAACACACACTCATTGCAACCCAGATTAACAGATCATTTTATGGTATTTTATGGTGACAAACAAGAACAATACTAGTGAAATAATCAACCAACTACGATCAGCCCTCTAAACATGAATATACCCTTAGCCTATGGAGGTACATTCTTCGTGGTGCAGGAAGTTCATGTGTCAAGAGTGCCAAAATATGACTTTGTGAATCAGACTTCTTAAAGGGGTCATATGATGCTTTTTTAAAGATCATTATTTTGTGTATTTGGTGTAACAGAATATGTTGCCCTCTCTCTCTCTCTCTCTCTCTCTCTCTCTCTCTCTCTCTCTCTCTCTCTCTCTCTCTCTCTCTCTCTCTCTCTCTCTCTCTCTCTCTCTCGCGCTCTCTCTCGCTCTCTCGCTCTCTCTCGCTCTCTCTCTCTCGCGTGCCAAACTCCGCATTTGAACAGTCAATAGCAAATACTTAAACTAATAACAAAACAGTAGCTGATTCAGAAGCGC